CAGAAAGTCAACAAAGAAACAATAGATGTAAACTATAGTCTAGAACAAATGGATCTAATAGATATTTGCAGAAGATTACATTCTTCTCATCAGCACATGGAACGTTCTCCAAGACAGACCATATGATAGGTCACAAAACAAGTCTCAATAAATTTTTAGAAATTGAAATTATAGTTTGATGGGAATAGCATTGAATCTATGAATTACTTTGGGCAGTATAGCCTTTTTCATTATATTGATTCTTCCTATCCGTGAAGGTAGCATGTTTTTCCATTTGTTTGTGTCCTCTGTTATATCCTTGAGCAGTGATTTGTAGTTCTCCTTGAAGAGGTCGTTCACATCCTCTGTTAGCTGTATTTCTAGGCATTTTATTCTCTTTGTAGTACTTGTGAATGGGAGTTCACCATGATTTGGCTCTCTGCTTGCCTATTGTTGCTGTAAAAGAATGATTGTGCTTTTTGCACATTGATTTTGTATCCTGAGACTTTGCTAAAGTTGATTATCAGTTCAAGAAGTTTTTGGACTGAGATTATGGGATTTTCTAAATATATAATTATTTCATCTACAAACAGAGACAACTTGACTTCCTCGCTTCCTATTCAAATACTTTTTATTTCTTTCTCTTGCCTGATTGCCCTAGCCAGAGAACTTCAAATACTGTGTTGAAGAGGAGTCATGAGAGAGGGCACCCTTGTCTTGTATCAGTTTTCAAAGGGGATGCTTCCAGCTTTTGCCCATTCAGTATGATATTGGCTGTGAGTTTGTCACAAATAGCTGTTACTATTTTGAGATATGTTCTATCAATACCTAGTTTATTGAGAGTTTTTAACATGAAGGGATGTTGAATTTCATCAAAGGCTTTTTCCGCATCTATCAAGATAATTATGTAGTTTTTGTCTTTGGTTCTGTCTATGTGATGGATTACTCTTATTAATTTGTATATGTTGAACCAGCCTTGCAACCCAGAGATGAAACCAATGTGATCCTGGTAGATAAGTTTTTGATGTGCTGCTGGATTTGGTTTGCCAGTATTTTATTGAAGATTTTCATCTCGATGTTCATCAGAGATATTGACCTAAAATTTTCTTTTTTGTGTGTGTCTCTTTCCAGTTTTGATATCAGGACGATGCTGGCTTCATAAAATGAGTTAAGGAGGAGTCCCTCTTTTTCAATTATTTGGAATAGCTTCAGAAGGAATGGTACCAGCTCCTCTTTGTATTTCTGATAAAATTCAGCTGTGAATCCGTCTGGTCCTGGGCTTTTTTTGGTTGGTAGGCTATTAATTACTGCCTCAATTTCAGAGCTTGTTATTTCCATTCAGGGATTCAACTTCTTCCTGGTTTAGTCTTGATAGGATGTATGTGTTCAGAAATGTATCCATTTCTTCTAGATTTTCTAGTTTTATTTATGTAGAGGTGTTTATAGTATTCTCTGATGGTAGTTTGTATTTCTGTGGGATCATTGATGATATCCCCTTTATTATTTTTATTGTGTCTATTTCATTCTTCTCTCTCTTCTTCTTTATTAATCTGGCTAGAGGTCTATATTGTTAATTTTTTTTTAAAACAAGCTCCTAGATTCATTGATTTCTTGGAGGGTTTTTCGTGTCTCTATCTCCTTCAATTCTTCTCTTGTCTTACTTATTTCCTGGAAACATACATCCCTCCTGGATTAAATGAGGAATAAATAGAAACCATAAACATACCAGTAACAAGCAGTGAAATTGAATCAGCAATTTTTAAAATACCAACAAAAAAAGCCCAGAGCTAGATGCATTCACAGCTGAATTCTACCAGACATTCAAAGAAGAATTGGTGCCAATGCTACTGAAAGTATTCCAAAAGATTAAGAGGGAATCTTCTCTAAGTCATTCTGTGACTCCAGTATCACCCTGATGTCAAAACCAGGAAAGTACATGACAAAGAAACAACAGACCAGATGAAAATAGATGCAAAAATCCTCAACAAAAGCTCGCTAACTTAATCCAGCAGCCCATCAAAAATATAACACACTGTGATCAAGTGTTTTTTTTTTTTTTTTTTGAGACGGAGTTTAGCTCTTGTTACCCAGGCTGGAGTGCAATGGCGTGATCTCGGCTCACCGCAACCTCCGCCTCCTGGTTTCAGGCAATTCTCCTGCCTCAGCCTCCTGAGTAGCTGGGATTACAGGCACGCGCCACCATGCCCAGCTAATTTTTTGTATTTTTAGTAGAGATGGGGTTTCACCATGTTGACCAGGATGGTCTCGATCTCTTGACCTCGTGATCCACCCGCCTCGGCCTCCCAAAGTGGATCAAGTGGATTTAATCCCAGGGATTTAGGGATGAGTTAACACATGCAAGTCAATAAGCGTGGTGCATCACAAAAACAGAATTAAAAACCATAGATCATTTCAATAGATGCAGAAAAAGCATTTGATAAAATCCAGCATCCTTTTAGATAAAGATCCTCAACAAACTAGGCATAGAAAGGGCTTGCCTCAAAGTTATAAAAGCTATATGTGACAAACCCACAGCCAACATTATAATAAATGGGTAAAGTCTAACGCATTCCCCCTGAGAACTGAAACAAGACAAGGATGCCCACTTTCGCCACTTCTATTCAATGTAGTACTAGGTATCCTAGCCAGAACAATCAGACGAGAGAAAGAAATAAATGACACCGAAATTGGAAAAGAAGTCAAAGTATCATATCATCGGTTCACTGATGATATGATCGTATACCTAGAAAACCCTAAATACTCCAGAAGACTCCTAGGTTTGATAAATGAATTCAGTTCAGTCTCAGGTTACGAAATCAAATGCACACAAATTAGCAGTGCTATACACCAACAGTGATCAGGCTGAGAATCAAATCAAGAATTCAATCCCTTTTACAACAACTTCAACAAAATAAAATAAAATACCTAGGAATATACTTATCCAAGGAGATAAAAGATCTCTACAGAGAGAGCTACAAAACACTGCTGAAATAACCATAGATGACACAAACATGTGGAAATACATCCCATGCTTATGGATTGGAAGAATCAGTATGAAAATGATCACACTCCCCAAGGCAATCTACAGATTGAATGCAATTCTTATCAAAATACCAACATCATTTTTCACAGAATTAGAAAAAAACAGTCTTAAAATTTGTATGGAACCTAAAAAGAGCCTTCATAGCCAAAGCAATCCTAAGCAAAAAGAGCAAATCTGGAGGCACCACATTACCAGACTTAAAATTATACTACAAGGCTCTATTTACCAAAATGGCATGATACTATTATAAAAATAGATAGATAGACCAATGGAACAGAACTCAGAAATAAAGCCAAATACTTAAAACCAACTGATCTTCAACAAAGCATACAAAAACATAAATTGGGGAAATGACTTAATAAATTGTGCTGGGAAAACTGGCTAGCTACATATAGAAGAATAAAACTCAATCCCTATTTCTCACTTTATACAAAAATCATCTCAAGATGGATCAAAAATTTAAACCTAAGACCTGAAACCAGAAAAATTCTACAAGAAAACCTAGGAAAAATTATTCTGGACATTGGCCTAGGCAAAGAATTTGTGACTGAGACCCCAAAATCAAATGTAACAAAAAAACAAAAAAAAAAATAGGACTTAATTAAACTGAAAAGCTTCTTTGTAGCAAAGAAAATAATCATCAAAGTAAACAGACAACCCACAGAATGGGAGAAAACATTTACAAATTATGTATCCAACAAAGAAATAAAATCCAGAATATGCAAGAAACTCAAACATTACAGAAAAACAAACATCAAAAAGTGGACAAATGACATAAACAGACATATCTCAAAAGCAGGTATACAAGTGGCCAACAGACTTCTGAGAAAATGCTCAGCATCACTAAGTATCAGGGAAATGCAAATTAAAACCGCAGTGAGATACCACCTTACTCCTATAAAAGTGGCCATTATTAAAAAGTCAAAAAAATATGGATGTTGACATGGATGTGGTGAAAAAAGAAAATTTATACATGGCTGGTGGGAGTGCAAATTAGTACAAACTCTATGGAAAACAGTATGGAGATTTCTTAAAGAACTAAAAGTAGATCTGCCATTCAATCCAGCAACCCCACTCCTAGGTATCAATCCAAAGGAAAAGAGGTAATTATATAACAAAGACACCTGTACATATATGTTTATTGCTATGTAATTTACAATTGTAGATATATGGAACTAACCTTAGTGCCCATTGACCAATGAATGTGTAAAGAAAATGTAGTATATATACACCATGGTGTACTACTCAGCCATAAAAAAGAATGAAATAATGTCTTTTGCAGCAACTTAGATGGAGCTGGAGGCCATTATTCTAAGTGAGGTAATGTAATGGAAAACCAAATACTGTGTGTTCTCACTTATAAGTCAGAGCTAAGATATTAGTACTAGAAGACATACAGTACTGTGATATATAATACTCGAAGTGATATAATGGATTATGGAGACTCAGGAGGAAGAGAAGAGGAAGGATTAAAAAATGATATATTGGGTACAATGTACACTACTCAGATGAAGACCACACCGAAGCCTCAGACTTTGCCACTATAGAATTCATCCATTTAACCAAAAACTAACTGTACTCCAAAAGCTATTGAAATTAAAAAAAATTAAAAAGAAAAATACATTTAATATTTTCAAAAATGTAGTGCCCATTATACATTCATTCAGCAAGGATAGCCTGAGTGTAATGTGTGGGCCAGGGATCTGTCCTAGGTCCTGGGAACTCAGTAGTGAGCAAGACAGACCCAAATCCCTACACCAGTGGAGCTTGCATTGTAATTGATACACCTATAATTAATAGACAAAATGAGGACTTGAAAAAGAGAAATAGAAAATATTGTGAATCTAGGGGAGAAGAAAGATACATACAAGAAAAGCGAAAATTGTAGAGAAATGGCAAGATAACTCCTGAAAGGGTAGAGACTGGGAACATGAGAAGGGAGCTCACTCAACTATTCACAAGTCACTATTTGGTGCAGGGGCAACCTCACTTGGGCATGACATGCAAGAGAAGCTCCAAGTGGTGGATAAGGAGACTCAAAGGAAAGACGACTCAACTCGGAACTCAAAGGTCATGATGAGGGTCCAAAAGGCAAGAATTAAATGTACCCAAAAGTCCAGACCGGAAGGTAAGGCTAATAATGGAATCTGCTATTTGAATTACAATGTGGGAGGGTCTCTTGGAGCATGTACAGGGCCAGATAGAGATGTAAAGTCAATAGCAGAAGGAGCGAGATGTATAGGCAAAAGGGACATGAAGACAGAGCACGGATCTGTTGCCGTGACAGTGGTTGTTGGAAGAAATGTTCTTGGAGTGCGGTTTGCCTTGGCTTTGCCAGGTAGATTTATGTGACCACAGTGTGTGCTGTTTTTATTTCTGTTATTAGAGTCATCACAACTCTCTTGAGTTTGGGAGACTCCTTTCTGATTCTGGCCAACCCAGTCTTGGAAGTGGCACCAATCCTCAAAGTGGACACATTTGCAGGATTATTTTTTAATGATTCATTTCTAGAACTGAAGTTGCTTGGTCAAGTTTGCATATTTAAATTAGCACATATTTGTTGTCAAGTTGCCTAAATTATCTATTTATACTCCCATTAACATGATATAGTACACCCTTTCCCTCCACCTTCACCAACACTAGAAATAACAAGATGTTTCTATGATGACTGACAAAGGTGAAGAGTGATATTTCACTGGTGTTTCCCTTTGAATTTCTTTGTACTAGGCAGGTGATCAAATGCTGTGGTAGTTTGTATTATGGTCTACAGTGTTCCAGGGCCCCACCTCCTCAGAAGTTCACAGCCCTGCCCTGTGGACTCAGGAATGCCAATGTGATAACTTAGCAAAAGAAGTGTGGACTCAAGTTAGAGAGCCACTTTCAGGCCAAGACTTTCAGAGTTACTTGTTTTCTTTCTCTCTGCCCAAGACCAGGGATGTTCTAGACAGAGGCTGCTCTGTCTCCAGGAGCCATGAGTGTCAGTGATGTAGGGCTGAGCCTCGTCTAATTTATGATGAAACAACAGCATGAGAGAGAAGTAAACCTTTGTTGTTGTAAATCAGAGCTTGGCAAACTTTTCCCAAAAAGGACCAGAAGATGCAGCTACTCAATTTTGCCTTTGTACGTGACAGCAGCCAGAGGCAAATATGTAAACAAATGGGCATGGCTGTATTCCAATAAAACTTTATTTATATAAGCAGGCGGTAGACCAGTTTAGCCCTTAGACCATAGTTTGGTTTAGTTTGGTTTATTTTGTTTGTTTGTTTGTTTGTTTTTGACACAGAGTCTCGCTCTGTCACCCAGGCTGGAATGCAATGGCGCAATCTTGACTCACTGCAACCTCTGCCTCCTGGGTTCAAGTAGTTCCCTGCCTCAGCCTCCCTAGTGGCTGGGATTACAGGTGCCCACTACCACACCCAACTAATTTTTTGTATTTTTACTAGAGATGGGGTTTTACCATCTTGCCCAGGCTGGTCTTGAACTCCTGACTTCATGATCCACTCACCTCAACCTCCCAAAGTGCTGTGATTATAAGCATGAGCCATTGCACCCAGCCAACCATAGTTTGCTGACACCTGTAATAAACCACTGAGATTTGGGAAGATCATGAATTACCACAGCATTACCTAGCCTATCTTTACCAATTTCCATTGTGGTTTTTTTTTTAATTGACATTGGAATTTTTTTCTTTCTAGGGTCACCTGTTTGAATTTGCCCATTTTTGTATAGGACTAGTCATTTTTTGTTTGATCAGTTAGAGTAATTAACCCTTTGTTACAGTTATCGCAGTGTTTCTTATTTTGCTTCCGTCTTTGAACTTAAGAAGCTTTTGGTTGTGGAGATATTTTCTTATCTAGATAGACAAATCAGTGTACCTGTAGCAGCGTGGTGTATGCTGGAGTTTCTCAATTTTGGCATTGTTGACATTTTGGACCAAATAATTATTTGCTTCAGAGGCTGTCCTGTGTGTCATGGATGTTTCACAACATCCCTGGCCTCTACCCATTAGATGCCAGTGGCACCTGCTTCCCAGTCCTGACAAACGAAAAGATTTCTAAACATTGCCAGATAGCCCCTTAGAGCAGAATCACCCAATGTTAACCAGTGCTCTATGCCCATTACTTCCTCCTTAAAAAGCCCTGCCTACGTGATATTTATTGATTGATTGACTGATTGATTGAGATGGAGTTTCACACTATGGCCCAGTCTAGAGTGCAGTGGCACCATCTCGGCTAACTGCAACCTCTGCCTCCCAGGTTCAAGCAATTCTCCTGTCTCAGCCTTCTGAGTAGCTGGGGCTACAGGTGTGCCACCACACCCAGCTAATTTTTTATTCTTAGTAGAGATGGGGTTTCACCATTTTGGCCAGGATGGTCTCAAACTCCTGACCTCAGATGATTTGCTCATCTTGGCCTTCCAAAGTGCTGGGATTACAGGCGTGAGCCACCGTGCCTGGCCCCTATGTGATATTTATAAGGCCATACAGTAGCCCACCCTTATGAGTGGTTTTGTGTTCCATGATTTCAGTTACCTGAAGTCAACTGCAGTTTGAAAATATTAAATGGAAAGTTCCAGAAATAAACAATGTATAAGTTAAAAATTGTGCATTGTTCTGGGTAGCATACAAAGTCTAGCACCATCTTGCTGTATCCCACTCGGGGATGTGAATCATCTCTTTTTCCAGTGTGTCCTGCTGTATTTGCAGCCCACCCATCAGTCGTTTAGTAGCTGCCTTGGTTATCGGATTGAAGAAACATAGTGTCTGCAGGACTGGGCACTACCTATGGTTTCAGGCATCCACTGGAGGGCTTGCAACATATGCCCTGTGGATAAGGGGGGCCTCGTATATATCCCTTCATGCTAGTACTTACAGTAAATGTATGGACATATATTAATTAGTGGAAACTTGGCTTCTGTAATATTTTTAGCTTTCCTGCCTATTAACGTGGGCTTGCTGTATTTCCTCAGTCAATGCTACAAGGAAGTCCTTTCATAACAACTCATATGTAACTTGTCTCTCCAAACTGGTAGAAAAAACAGGACAAAGTACTTTAAAATTGTTAACATATGGGGCTTATTAATCTATGTTTGTAGTTATAAGTAGTTTTTAGAAAAGAAAAGGGAAAAAGATATCTGTTCAAGTTCAAAAAGGAGATTTCAGAAAAACATTCACCAAAGAAGTAAATAAGCAAGCCGCAACGCCCCCTCCCCCACGCCTTGGGCTCCCCAGAGCCTTGGCCACTGCTGAAGGCTCCACCCACCTTCCCCTTCTCCTCTCTCCTTTCTTCCACTCTCCTTGTCCTTCTCCTCTGAGGTTGTTCTCCACCCTCATGGGTACCAGCTGACTTTGGGCGCATCAGGAGTGCTGCCAGCCTAACCCACCGCCTTGTGCCTGGTGGCTATTTCCATACTTGGAAGGATTCTTTAACACAGAGCTATGCAAAGACCCAAAAATGATTAAGGATGATCGCTAAACCCACAAGTCAAGTTCTAAAATAAACTTCTACATCCTCCATTCTAGAAGTTAAAAGAAGCCCTTGTCCAAGCACAGCCTGAGTGTTCTCGCGCCTTTGCCTGCGTTGGTTGGGAACCTGTGCTTGCTTCAGCCTCTGCACCCTCAGGCCTCTTTGCGTCTCTGTCCTCTCCCTCCTGCTCCTCTTCTTGCATTCATTTTTCTTCTGCTTTTACACCTCACTTCGTCAGCAGCATTTCTTGTCACCCTATCTCCCTTTGCAGCCACATCGGCCCGTTTTATTCATTATTGAAGTATAATAGGTGCTATCCAAGGTGGGGTCCCCAGACTGGTACCTTCTACAAGCCTCTCGGTTGCAGGTCTACAAGAATAAGGAGCATGTAAACCAACTGTGATGCTAAGCATGCTGTTTTCATAGCAGGACTCCTCAGTGGTGACAGCAGTGCCTTGATTCTGATCAAGCCCCTGTCGCATCGCAGGTTGGAGCACTGAGTAGCCCTGGTGTGTGTGCTTACAGAAAATGCATGGATCCTAAGAGTACAGCTTGGTGGATTCACACAGCCAGAAAAAGCACCCACATACCCAGCACCCAGCTCAAGACACAGGATGTCATCAACACCCATAAACCACCCCCTACCCACATCCCTAAGGTCACACCAGCCTGATTCCTCATGGCATAGGTCATCAGACACTGAATGTTCCTCCCTCCTTCCTGCTCAGGGCCTCCTTACATAGGCCTTCCCACTCACCCACCCCACCCCAAAGCTAATCCCTCTATCCTTCTCCCTCTCTTTGCTATATACCCTCAGAGCTCACCTTTTAAAAAAAAATTATTTTAAGTTCCAGGATACATGTGCAGGATGTGCAGGTTGTTACGCAGGTAAATGTGTGCCATGGTGATTTGCTGCACCTATCAGCCAATCCCTTAGGTATTAAGCCCAGCATGCATTAGCTATTAATCCTGGTGCTCTCCCTCCTGCTCCTCCAACAGGCCCCAGTGTGTGCTGTTCCCCTCCCTGTGTCCATGTGTTCTCATCGTTTAACTCCCACCTATAAGTGAGAACGTGTGGTGTGTAATTTTCTGTTCCTCCATTGGTTTGCTGAGGATAATGGCTTCCAGCTCTATCTGTGCCCCTGCAAAGGACATGACTTTGTTCCTTTTTATGGTTGCATAGTATTCCATGGTGTATATGTACCACATATTCTTTATCTAGTCTATAATTAATGGATATTTAAGTTGAGTCCATGTCTTTGCTATTGTGAATAGTGCTGCAGTGAACATACGCATGCACGTATCTTTATAATAGAATGATTTCTATTCCTTTGAGTATATACCCAGTAATGGGATTGCTTACTGGGCCAAATGATATTTCTGTTTCTGGGTCTTTGAGGAATTGCTACAAGGTCTTTCACAAAAGTTGAATTAATTTACATTCCCACGAACAGTATAGAAGTGTTCCTATTTCTCCACAGCCTCGTTAGCATTTGTTGTTTCTTAACTTTTTAATAATGGCCACTCTGACTGGAGAGAAATGGTATCTAATTGTGATTTTGATTCAAATTTCTCTATTGCTCAGTAATGTAGAGCTTTTTTTCATGTGTTTGTCAGCCACATAAATGTCTTCTTTTGAGAAGTGTCTGTTCATGTTTTTTGCCCACTTTTTAAAGGGGTGGGTTGTTTTTTTCTTGTAAATTTGTTTAAGTTCCTTGTGTATTCTGGATATTAGACCTCTTCCCTCAGACTTCACCTTAAATGTCACTTCGACAGGGAAGCATCCTCTGTCCCACAGGTCAGGGTAGGTCTCCCTGACATGCCCTTGTGGAGACCTGCATTTTGTCTTCATAGTGCTTATCTCAACTGTAATAAATGGTCTGTGCACAGCCTGTTCACTGCATGAAAGTCACAGGAGGTCAGTAAGTGGATGGGTCTTGCCCATTGCTGTATGTCCAGCTCCCATGCCTCACGCAGTTGTACTTCTTCACCAAGCATGAATACCAGTACCTGGACCCATCTGATTCATGCTGGGTTAGAAAAAGTTGCCCCTTCCTCAATTGACTACCTCATCTGTCAGAGCCAGTTCTTGAAAACAAACCCTTCTCTGCCCTCTGCTGGAAGATTGTTGTACTAAGCATGTAACCTGATTTTGTTTCTAATATGAATCAAAGCACCCCTTAAAGGTAGAGTCCTTGCTCAGTGCACAACCCATAGAACATTATGCAGAGTCCTTGATAACCATATAAAAGTATACATTACTTCACAGTTGGCAAAGCACTTTGATCTACATTTTGCCATTTAATTCCCATAATAAGTGAGTGTTATCAGCCCATCTTACAGATTCAATGAAAGGGCGAAAGACTTGAATGAGCTAAAATCAACCTGTGTGTTCCAACTTCAAGCCCTTTTTTCTTTACACTGAAAATGTAGATGAACCCAGATGCCACCTAGTCTTTTTGTGAAACACTGATGGAGGCAGGAGCCCCAGCAAATGTTGACAGTTGTCCCTCAGCATCAGCTTCTTCTCTCTGTAACTTCTCACTAAACGCAGGATGTCTGTGCTGTTGTTGCTTGTATGATGTGGAGTCTCACGGCATTTCTAATGATGTGGAAAGAGCGCTAGATACAGGGTCTGGCATTTCTAAATTCCAGTGCCAGCTCTACCCCATGTAGTGTGGTGACCACCAGCAATTCTCTCCATATCTGAGCCCAAGTCCCTCATCTATAAAATGGGGACAGTCATTGCCTTCTCGTTCTTACATGTTGTTGTGAGGATAGATGGCATAGTGCACCTGCTGCTCTTATTATTTCCTTGGCTATCACTTTTCCTCCCAGCACCCCATCTCCACCCCCGCCACCCCCTCCCCAGACCCCTCGTGCATACATCATAGAGCTCCCAGATCACTCCCCAGACCTGTGGTCTTCCCATGCAACACTTCCACCGTGTGCTTCTTCCTGACGTTCTATAGGAATTCCTGGAGATAGTCTTCTGGATTATGAATTTGTTTTTTGCCATGCTGCTATTCCTCATCTCAATGAGGCTTTTCTTCTTAATTTTCTCCATCTTGCTTTTCCTTTCCCTGAGCTCTCTGTTCTCTAATGGCTTGCTTTTCACAGCAGGCTCCTCATGGTCTGCTCACACTTCCTCATGGGGATCTGAACCCACGGCTGCTGCAGGGCTCCATCCATCAAGGCCTGGTTGCTGAGATAAGTAGGTGAGACTGAGCCAAGCTCAGAACTACTGGGAACAGGCCAGAAAGCTGCCCCCAGGCATAGGGCAGTTGGCTTTGGAAGTCTAAAGGTCCCACCCCACTTGATGACCTGCCTCCACTGGAGGAAGGGACTGATGCTTGTGTCCATGACTCTGCACGTCAGCTTGCTACCTGTGGTCCCCAAAGCCACCCCCTGCTCTGTCATCTGCTTACAAATGCTCTGGGGACATTCATGTTCCCTAAATCTATATTCACTACAGGGGATTAGAGAAGAGATTTCTGCAGAGACAGAGAACTGTGGAAGGTCCCTGTAGCTGCGCTAATCTCCCTCAAGGTTTGCAGTAGTGGTCCAGAGTCAGTTGGAGCTCTGCCTTTCACTCACATTAGGAACCTGTGGCAGCAAATTCCCCACTCAAATTTGATAACAGTTACGCACACTTAGGTAATCCTTCTAGTAAGTTACAGAGCCAGGATTACAAGCCCCTCCCACCCCCACCCCTCCCCACCCCGCGAGTCTGGCTCCTGAGGCCATGCTCTCATCTGCTGTGCCATATTTACCGAGTAGAGTCTAGAGACAAATGGTGGAGCTGGCCACTCCATGCTAGAGGGCTGGCTGTTGAAGCCAAGCTTTTCCCACCCTAAGTTTCCACACCCCTACCCTCCACCCCCATGCCTGGCCTTGCTGCCAGCCCCTGCTCTGTGAGGCCAGGCATCCTGTGGGACTCTTTGGGGAGTCACGTCCTCACCTCTCAGGGGTGCCTCCTCTCTCAGTCTGACTCTATCTGCCTTGTATCTTTCCAGAGAAATGAATGGCTTCTTCACCACTGATTCTGTTCCTTCCTCTTTCCATCAATGTTCTTGTTTTGTCATTTGTTTTCCTTTAGCTCTTTCAATAACTGTTTGAGGCAAGGGAGAGAGTTGGACCAGATGTTCTCATAGACTCATTTTAGGTGTAACATCCTCTGTAACTCAACATGAGACACAGACAGCCCCTTCATTTCTCCCCAGAGAAACAGCCCCTGCTGTCTCTCTTTCATGAATTCACCCACAGTGAGGTTGGAGGAGAAGGCAGCAGGAATTACCGATATTCATTTTAAAACCTCTTACAACTGCTTCTCCCGAATCTAAACCCCTGATTTCTACCCAGGGGTTCCGAGTTGCCAGACCTCTCCAGGAGCAACTGGGAAATTAGTTCAATGCTCTCCAGGGTTTTCTTTTATTCATGGAGGAAGCAACAGGGAAGCAACAGAATGAAAAGAAATAATGAAGACGGACACCATCCCTCAGCACCAGCCACCTCACTCACCCAAGTCTTCATTTGCTTCAGGAAATAAGATTATAAATGAAGATTTTCCCCCCTCTGGCAAAATGAATGCAAAGAAATATTTCAGTAGGCAACTTCCATGAGCACAGAGAGTGCAGCAGGACGCTTGTAGAAGAGAAGCCGATTAGGTGATGCGCGTCAGCTTGCATATTGAGACACATTCACTGAAGAAGCCCTGTATGTTCTACTGAAATGTTCCTTTTGCTGTAGGGTTGGAGGCGGTGGTGGTGGTGATTTATTGCAGGTCACCATATACACATAGCTTATCTGCCACTTGAGATGGAAGATTTCCTGCAAACCAGAAAATGTTCCCCAATACCCTGTGCATGATTGGAATTCATGGAGGGGAGAATTCAAAAAGAAGATGGAAGGAAGACTGAATAACACCAATCGGTTCTCTTCTACTTTCAGAAAAACCCAAAAGTGACACTGTGGATTTTCAGTGGTCTGAGCTCTCTGTGACCTGTGGTGTGGCAAAAGGGATTTTATATAAGGCGAAAATGAAGCACGGTGAGTCCCTTGGTCTTCTGCTCTTTGGAATCCCTAGATGAAGGAATCAGTAGAAGGGAGGGAAATACCTGTGTGTATAATTGATTAGGAAATGGACCTGCTAGCTAGACTGCAGAAGAAGAAACGTTTCCTTGGAAGGAATTTCCAAACCCTTCTGCGTCATGATATTTCTGGCAACCAGACCATTCCACTCCCACCTGGAAGTCACCTATGGACCCTGCAGTAGTGACAGCCAAGTCCTTGCTGCATGTAGGTACCACATGAATGCAAATTCTGTCCCACCCCCTCACCACTCAGTCAGGCTTTAGGGCTGCCTTCAGTCTAAGAGAAGAGGCATCCAGACTCCCCTGCTACTATTTCCACCTCACAGAGGAAGTCTCCCTTGATCCAGAAAGGTAGAAGGCTACAATTAGGAGGAGTTCAGAGGTTTGGGGTGAATTCACAGAGGATGGGGGTAGATCCAAAAGCGGGCTGTCTTTTTCTTACAGGATCCTCAACGAAGTGCATTCAGAATGAGAAGGGAGCTTGGCTCACACCAAAAGAATTTGAAATTGAAGGAAAAGGAAGAGACACAAAGGACTGGAAGCGGAGTATACATTGCGGAGGAAAGCCCCTATTAGAGCTGCTGAAAAGGGTCAGATAGGTGACTGGTTTAAATCCTCGGAGGAGAAGTGGAACTTTTAACAGCAGAAATGTGAAGAGCTCCCATTAGGATTCAACAGCATGATTTATAAGGAGCTAAATGTTCAAAATATGGTTGAGAACGTTAGGGGCACAGATTGTTCCTGATGGTGGAGAACTTTAAATGCAGGCAAAGGGGTCTGAGGTCAAGAGAGATGTAAGAAGCTAAAAATAAGCTAGCTGAAGACAGTTGCCTGCAACCACTCCCCTGCATCCTCTACCTGACACCTACTCAAGACCCAGCTCATCTGGGCCCCCTGACATTTCCAGGCCCCCCAGTCCATGGTCTGTCTCTCCTCTGCATGTGTCCACATCCCACTATTCCTGTCCTGAGAACAACTAGGCTTTATGAGACCAGGACTCAACACAAGGCATCTCAGTGACACTCAAGAAATTATCACTAGAATGAAATCATAAAGATTTTATCTAGAGAGGAAGAACTGGAAAGAGAAAGGAATGGATGGGAAAGGGACTAAGAAAGAAGGATTTGGCTCATGGGTTTGAGTAACGGGGGAAAAAAATGATTTTATCACGAAGCGAAGTCTAAAAGAAAAGCTGACTGTGAGAGGGAGCTAATTTTTCTTTTGGACGCCTTGGGTTTGAGATCCACTGTGATATCCGGGTACAGATATTCACTAGGAAGTGGGAAGGCCAGTATCTACAAAAGAAAAACCTCCAGAATAACCTCATTCATTGACTCCTTCTGTCTTTCAGAATGGACTTTTGCTCTGTCCTCCAAGAATAAATCTCAAGAGAGACTTAAATAGCAAGTGAATTTCTGCTATACTGTCAGTCACCATCTTGCAGACTTTCCCTGTATGGAGGCTCAGTTAGAGCTTCTGAGTTTCCCAGCTCTGAGTCACCTCCACATGTGGGCACGGCATCTTCAAAATCATAATTTTCATAGTTAATTTGGGATGGGGAAGCAAACGGCTCTAAAATAAAAATCAGATGAAAAAGCTCATCATGTCCATGTGTTTTAGAAAAAGATCTGGATATTTGGATTGCTATAAACCAAAGGTGTCAGAAATAAAATGCTCTGAGCCTAGGCAACCTAGCAAGACCCCATCTCTAACAATTTTTTTTTTTAATCAGCCAGGAATGGTGGTATGCACCTGTAGTCCCAGGTAAGGCTGAGGTAGGAGGATTGCTTGAGCCCAGGAGTTCAAGACTAGCCTGAGTGATATAGTGAGACTCTGTGTCGCTATACAATGCAATGTAATCTCAGCACTGTGGGAGACCAAGGTGGGTGGATCCCTTGAGCCCAGGAGTTTGAGACCAACTTAGGCAACATGGAAAAACCCCTTCTTTACAAAATATACAAAAATTAGCCAGGCATGGTGACATGTACCTGCAGTCCCAGCTACTCAGGAGGCTGAGGTGGGAGGATCACTTGAGCTCTGGAAGCAGAGGTTCCAGTGAGGTGAGATCATGCCACTGCACTCCAGCTGGGGCGACAGAACATGAAAAGAAAAAAAAAAAAAAAAAAAGCATTGAAATAGACAGGAACAGCATATGAAAGGAAAAGAGGATCCTCTGTGATCACACACTAAGTGTGGCTGAAGGTTCCATGCTTGTTATTGGTAGCACCAGGATGGAATGACACCTTTAAGCTGAGTTTTGTCTCTGCAGGGCCTCCCTACAGGTGGAACGGCAGCCATTTATTGGCTGAACTAACTCCCCCTCCTCAACCTCCTCTACTTGCTTAGATATGTTCTGCAGGCATCAGTTCCACTCGTGAGCTTCCCATTAGATGGGAGCTTCCAGCAAGACAACGGTGCTTCTCTCATATTGCCCTGGAGGCTGGCCTGACCAGGCTGGATTCATTCAGAGATTAAGGCACTGGTCTCCCAATGCCATTAGATAAATCATCTTTCCCATGCTTATTTGAAATGCCCTGAGAATCAGGGTGCTTGCTCAGTGTAACATCATAATAGCAAAAAATTAGGGACAAACACAAGTTCTATCAGTATTATAGAATGAACTGATACAGCTACAGAATGCTTTTGTACAAGCCTTTCTTACAGAATATTAGGCCTTTGATATAGACATCTGTACATGGATTCATAAGTATGGAGTTATCATTCAATCAATGGGAAAACCATCAAGGGTTTGGGGTCAGGAGAGCTTCAGGATATTTACGGTAGTAGTGACGTGAGAGGAAGGAACCCATTGTTGCTTATGTGAATGCGTAGATAGGTCTATGAGTGAAAAAATAGCCAAAAGAATCAACCTCACTTATTTTGAGATGAGATCACAGGGACATTTGCCTTCTGTGTTACACATTTATGTACAGTTGGAATTACAATGACCATTTATTACTTTTGCAACTGGAAGAAAAAAGAGCTTTAAAATCTAGATCATTCATTAATAGCCCCAACACAGTAATATTCTCTAACTCTCCTAATGCCACATGTCAGCACATATTAGCCAGGGGCATGCTTGACCCAGCCTCTCAGTCCCACTGTCCAGGGCCAGGTTGGGAGAAGATGATGAAGGTTTATCCGACTGAGAATGAGCCAGTGCCGGCCTTGCCCTCAGCCCCCATCATCCAGCGTGACTCCTGCTCTGCAGCACCTCTGTGTCCATGGCAGTTTCACTTGTGAATGTGTACAACAAAGAGACCGATGCTGGCACTCCTAAAGTGTGCTTTGTGGTCACCTGCAGGGTGCTGCCTCCATGACCCACACATGATAGACAGCTGGTGCAAAGAGCCACAGGCTTGGCCTGTGACAGTCTCCATCTCCAGAAGGGCCTGGATGTAGCCAGCAGCTGCCACTCGAATGGCATATAGTGTGGGGCTGAGGAGAACAGCTTTTGGGGTTCTTTTTTTTATACCAGAAGCCCATGGCCATCATGGGTGGTCCAGAGATGCTAGGAGGCATGAGAAGAGGTAGGCAAAGTCTCCAGACTCTGGAGGGCACTAATAGGAATGCCTGCTGTATCGCAATTTGATAGATTCTAAAACCTTTTGTTAGAAGGAGCCCCATTCAAAGTGGGCCTCTTTGCAAGTAACAGCACAAATGGGCTTATCTAAAATCTATGAGGGACGCATTTCCTCCAGAACTCAAGAGGCCCAAAGGATGCTTGGAGGCTTGTTAGAACACTGGGCACTTAAGGATCAATAATTATTTTTTGAGTGTCAGGGATGGAGCATCCCTTGACTCACCAGATAATGCCCAGATGGTGGCAGATCCCTGTACTATGTCTGGGACAGTGGCCCATGCTTTTTTTTTTTTTTTTTTTAATTCCACATCCATGCAGAAACTCAAACCCCATCTTTTTCTGTGAGCTCCTTGTGAGTAATGTCCTGAGTGTGTCAAATGAATCTGCTGAGAGAGGGATGTCTTCCGGGTGATGTTATGCCTGTGCTCCTAGAGAGTGTCAGATGCAGTTCAAATCCTGCCTGCAAAGATTGCCTATGGTGGAGGAACTGTCAAGGTACCCTGTGGTAGCCAGATAATGGTCTATTGTGTCCCTTCAGGAGTGAAAGCAACCCACAGCTGAGATGCTGTTGAAATAGACACCAAAGAGAACGCATCAGTCAATTCTGTGTCTGCAGAGTATTTACCAGTTGCTAAGTGGATGGAATCAGTAATTTCAATAACATTGGGCCTTCACAGGTGGGGTCATAGCATTCGGGTTGCAGTAATTCACCGTGACACATCATTCATTCTTTCCAAGTTTAAGAACAGACCAAATTGGGCTTTTAAATAGAGAAACAGTGGGAATAGTCGCCCCTTCTCTAAATAGATCTTCTATAATGAGTTTCAATCCCTGAAAATTCATTTTAATTCATATTGATCAGTATTAAACATTTTAACAGAGGTCCATGGAGTTTCATTTTGTAAAGCTGATTGTAAGTGCCAAAGATAACTTAATTAGTTATTTTAATTTGTTCTTTACTGGGTCACAGCATCCATGCCCACTGTGGAACATTCTGGAGCCATGTTATGTCACAACCATGGGGCAGTTAGGCAAGGCGCCAGGAACAAGCGTTCCCACACTCCCGTGCCGACATGCCAGCTATCATCGTATCTTACTTTGGTCAGTTAGATCTATTAACAGAGGTTTGGTGGGGCTCAGCAAATGCTGCCCTGAGTGGCCAGCTCAAAGCACAAGCTTGCCAGCAGGCAGCCGCACAGCTCAAAACACAGCGGAACCCATTAGCAAGCCACAACCAGAGAAGAAAAGTGCTGTCTTGGTGTTGGTGGTGTTGGTGCTCACCACCCAGAGGCTCTGCTTGTTGTCCCAGTTGTCTTGCAGTTTCCCCCAGGGAGGTGACATCAGCGCCCCCCCACCCAGAATTGGGTTTGGGTATCCACTCTGGCACACACAAAAATGACATGCTCTAGAACCCCACAGAGTCAGCATTTGTGGGTCTCCATGGTCCTAGCAGTGCCCACATTATCTGCCCTTGCAGCGGAAAAACTTGGATGAATGCAAGGTGTGCTGTAAAGTGGGACAACTACTCTGCTGCAGTACTTGTCCACGAGCCTTCCATGAGGACTGTCACATCCCCCCTGTGGAAGCCAAAAGGTGAATGGGATGCAGCCGTGCCTCGGCACACAGCACTCACCTCCAGAGGGAAGGGCAAGACCTGTGAGTGTCCGGGACAAGGGTGTGACAGAGAGTAATCTGGTGTCAGAGACTGGGCCTCTCTGAGTCTCTGAGGCTGCCAGTGAGCCTCTTGACCCCACACTTCCCCTGCCCCTGGAGGTGCCCTTTCCGAGGATGCTATTCCTTGGATAGCAGGGACTCTTGTCCAAGGGGAGTTGGGGACATGAAAAGCCAGCTTATGTTCTGTGACTACTCAGAAAAGACAGGAAGCACGGCTTCTCGCCCATTTCACCATGGTCTCATCTGGCTGATGGAGGCCTGAGGTCCCTGCAGGTGAAAGCCCAGATTTTGACACTCAAGCCTGGCAGGCAGGGTTCCTTTGTGCCTGCCACAAAGGACGAGAAGAGAGCACACACTCACAGTGACACCACTTCCTCAGCCTGGCCACCTGCACTTACCACTGATGCGAGGGAAGGGTCAATGCTGGAGACCCCATATGGGGCTCTTGGACACTCTGGCAGGTGTCCCGCCCTCATGGCTGAGCCCATCCTTCCCAAGGGAGGACAGTGGGAGCCACAGGAATGGTGGCCATTTCCAGGAACCCTGCCCTCTGCTCACCTTATGTCCAACCTCTCAGGACCCCCTGGATGTGCACCTTCTGCAGGATGAAGAGGTCTTCCAGAAGCCAGCAGGGCCATCGTGTATGTAAGATCCTGGAGAGGCGGATGCAGCCTCAGGAACAGCTGGTGAGTTGGATGCAGACCCCAAGCCTATGCTTTTCCCTGCTCACAAGAGAAGAACAAACAGACACAGATTCAGGGCAGTGAACCAAAGGGAGCCTTCAATGTCTCCCTTTAGAGGCTGAAGACTTAATGCCCAAACATAGAGTCCAAACAAAATGCCGCACACCGTGCGGGCCTCGGTAAGCACGGTTGGAATGCTGACCGCGCCTGGCTGCCCCACCTGTGCACATGTCTTGGCACTGGCCTGACTTCACTGTTCCCAAGCAGCGTTCCACTCTCAAGCCCTCTTCATGTTTTACAGAAATGTGAGTTCCTCCTCTTGAAGGCCTACTGTCATCCACAAAGCTCCTTTTTTGCTGCCATCCCACTTAATGTAAGTCACATTTTATGGTTCTCTTGAATAAAATGCACTTTGAGAAATCGGTGGGGGGGCTGAATCTGGCAGGTGCTGCAGTTTGCTCAGGAAGCTGGAGAGCAGGAGAGGAGGCCAGCATGGCAGCAGTGGAGCAGGACAGCAGGGCATTTAGCAGGGGGTTAGCTGGAGAGGGACTGCCTGGTTCAAACTCCATCCCACCGTGCACAGGCACTGGGATACCTGGCGAGTTGCTGCCCCTCCTGTGTATCTCAGCTTCATCTTCTCTTTAGGAGGATTGTCTTTCCTACTAGGGATGAAGAGTCACAGGTACCAGCCAGGCACAGTGGCTCACGCCTGTAATCCCAGCACTTTGGGAGGCTGAGGCGGGAAGATCACCTGAGGTTAGGAGTTCAAGACCAGCCTGGCCAACATGGGGAAACCCCATCTCTATTAAAAATATGAAAATTAGCCAGGCCTGGTGGCAGGCACCTATAATCTCAATTACTCGGGTGGCTGAGGGAGGAGAATCGCTTGAACCCGGGAGGCGGAGGTTGCAGTGAGCCGAGATGGTGCCACTGCACTGTAACCTGGGTGACAGAGTGAGACTCCATCTCAAAAAAAAAAAAAAAAAGTCACAGATGCCAAACTGTGTGGATTCCCATCCCAGCTCTACCACTTTCTAGCTGAGACATCTTGGGTAGGTTCCTTGACCTCCCCATCCCTTGGCTTCCTCATCTATGAAATGGGCATCATTATTTATGGTTCCCATAAATGTGGAGATTACATATTCATATACTTGGCTTAGAATGTAGTTTATCTAGTGCCTTAAACAATGGCTGGCCTAAAGAGGTCAGATGATATTATTATTGTTATCCTGGAAATAAAGGCTCGGATTGTATTTAAGCTGGATCCGCTCCAGTGATGACAGCCGTGCTAACGTCACCTCTGTGGTGGCTTTGTCCCCAGATTCGAGATTATGGTGAGCCCTTTCAGGAAGCGATGTGGTTGGACCTGGTTAAGGAAAGGCTGATTACAGAAATGTACACGGTGGCATGGTTTGTTCGAGACATGCGCCTGATCTTTCGCAACCGTAAAACATTCTACAAGGTAAAGGGCATTTCCTGCTTCCTTTCTGCATCTTTCCTACTTTCCTCTAATTTCTGGGACAGTGGAACTTTGCAAAAATCACACCCAGTTTCATCCTGGGGAGATATCATACAAGACAAGAATTACAGGAAAAAAAAAAAAAAAAACAAAAAAAAACCAAAAAAAAAAAAACAAAAAACCACCTCGGCATTCCTGGAGGCGAGGGGTGAGGGGCAAAAAGAAAAGCAAGCAGGACGGGGAAGGGATTCCCAGAACAGTAGCTGAAAAAACCACGCTCCGTTCCCAGATCAGCAGCCTGCTCCCACCTAGAGCAGTAAATGGCATCCGGCCTCTTTGTTCAAACTGGAAGGAAAGGCAGTTTATACTTAAATTGTTCTTCCTGTCTCAGAAATATGAAAATCAGTAAGTAAACAAAACAAAATCAATTAAACTTCCTGGATACTCAGGCTTGCATTTTTTTACATATAAACTTCTCATTGGACTCAAACATCTGGAATTGCCTTCCAATACGGTGTGAGTTTCACCCTCCTTTACGAGGGAGGAACAGCTAGTTGAGCTATCTTGCAATCCAAGACATATTTCACACCGGTTTGCCCTAATTTTTATCCTCACTTGTACAGAAATTTTTGGGAGGTACCTAAGGAAGATTTTCATCTCCGCCCGGCTTCCCTCCCTTCTTCCATGCTGGGAGTTGTCATGTTCACAAACCACACATTGTAAACGGGTACCCACTCATGGGGCTGGAGGGAGAAAGGCTTGGCTCAGAGAGCTGCTCAGTGTCTGGCATATCCTTAGCCCTGGAGAACAGAGGGTCATCCTTCCTCAGCGAGTGGGCTTTCAAAAAAATGCTTTTCTAAATTTGTTTAAGCTGTTTTGCACCATGCTCAGATTTGCAGTGATCAAAACCAACCCTTCAGTCCAAATCACCCGTCAGGCAGAAGTTAACCACCAGGTGGAGTCTCGTGCTTCTTGATATTGTAGCAGCAGCATCTCCCCATCCATTCTGCCTGACTGCTAGGGCTCCTAAAAATATATGAGTGAGGCTGGGTGCGGTGACCGACACCTATAATCCAAGCTTTCTGGGAGTCCAAGGAGAGATGATCGCCAGAGGCCGGGAGTTTGAGACCAGCCTGAGCAATGCAGCAAGACCTCCTCACCCTGATCTGGGGGGAAAAAAAAAATGTTTTCAAAAGCTGGGCTTAGCGGTGTGTGCCTACAGTTTCAGCTACTCAGGAGGCTGAAGTGGGAGGATCACCTGGGCCCAGGAACTCAAGGCTGCCGTGAGCTGTGATGATGCCACTGTGACAGAGAAAGACCCTGACTCTAAAACAAAAACAAAAAAGCAAAAAACAAAAAAAAAAAATGTATGAGTGATTTGATGGCTGTAATCCTTCTTCCTTAAACATGTTTGTTTGCTTTTTTCTCTTTCAGGCTTCTGACTTTGGCCAGGTAGGACTTGACTTGGAGGCAGAATTTGAAAAAGATCTCAAAGATGTGTTCGGTTTTCACGAAGCAAATGACAGCAGTTTCCGGACTCTTCCTTGACCCTGTTCTGGAAAGGCTGAAGCACCCCAACCTCAGGATCCAGCTGATTCGGCCCTGGCCTGGACTGTCAATCACCAGTGAGTCTGGGATGGAATTGGATGCCCTCACTACCCAAACCCAGACCCTTCATAGGATTATCACACCCTCCACCACCTTTATTCTTTCTCTTTGCCTTTGAAAGGCTATATCGACACTTAAAAAGAATTTAGTACTTCCTTAATCCAATGAGATACCCCATCAGAGTTCACATTCTCCCTACTGTCTCATAAGTCTTTTTAGAGTTGATTTGTTCAAATCAGGATCTAAACAAGTTTCACACATTGCATTTGGCTCATCTGTCCCTATGTCTATTTTAAGCTATAAATTGCCATGTATTTATTGAAGAACTCAGGGTTTTTTTCCTATTAAATTTTTAGAGTTTCCTGGTTGCATTTTCTTAGCGGTACATTCCTCTTTTCCTCTCATTTTTTGTAAACAAAGTTAGATCTAGAAGCTTGCTCGAACTCAGGTTTTGAGGGGTTTGTTTTGATTTGCAGGGGGGGTTGGCACACAGGCGTCACAGGGGGAATTTAGTATTATTATTATTTTTTTTTTTTTGAGCCAGAGTTTCGCCCTTGTTACCCAGGCTGGAGTGCAATGGCGCGATCTCGGCTCACCGCAACCTCCGCCTCCTGGGTTCAGGTAATTCTCCTGCCTCAGCCTGCTGAGTAGCTGGGATTACAGGCACGCGCCACCATGCCCAGCTAACTTTTTTTGTGTTTTTAGTAGAGACGGGGTTTCACCATGTTGACCAGGATGGTCTCGATCTCTTGACCTCGATCTCTCTGCCTCTCAAAGTGCTGGGATTATAGGCATGAGCCACAGCGCCCGTCCATATTATTTTTATGTTAAGTGTGGCAGCAGGTGCAGGTGTTATCAGCCTGATCATTTATCACCTGATGGTTTTAGCAGTACCTAAATCTGTGATATCATCAGGGGTTGCAAAATGATGAGATTCAGATTTTATTTTTTTACATCATTATTAGTCAGAATTCTTCTGCAAACAGCGTCTCTCTTACAGTATTTGGGGCCAGGAGCAGTGGCTCATGCCTATAATCCCAGCACTTTGGGAGGCCAAGGTGGGCGGATCACAAGGTCAAGAGACAGAGACCATCCTGGCCAACATAGTGAAGCCCCATCTCTATTAAAAAATACAAAATTAGCTGGGTGTGGTAGCACATACCTGTAGGCCCAGCTACTTGGGAGGCTAAGACAGGAGAATCACTTGATCATGGGAGGCAGAGGTTGCAGTGAGCCAAGATTGCACCGCTGCACTCCAGCCTGGCAACAGAGCGAGACTCCATCTCAAAAAAAAAAGAAGAAAAGAAAAGAAAAGAAACAATATTTGGTTACCTTGAAATACAGGTTGTACAAAAAGATAGGATAAATGCTTTTTATTATTATTATTATTTAGCAATGTTCAAAATAATGAATTGATTTCCTAATATCCTCTAAAGGTGACCAGGGATTTTTTTTTTAATTCTCTTGAACCTAACATATTTAAATTGCTAATACCTTTATTGATGCTTGAGTTGTCCACTTTTTTTTTTTTTTTTTTTTTTTTTTTTGAGACAGAGTCTTGCTCTGTCACCCAGCCTGGAGTGCAGTGGCGTGATCTCAGCTCAGTGCAACCTCCTCCTCCTGGGTGCAAGCAATTCTCCTGCCTCAGCCTCCTGAGTAGCTGGGATTACAGGCATGCACAAGTTGCCCACTTTTAGTGAAAATCTCCTCAATTTGACTCCTGAATTGTTCTGAAATGAACCCAGCACTCTTTGATGGTGTATTAGCTATCTACTGCTTTGTAACAAATAACCTCAAAGCTTAGCTGCTTAAAAGAAAGAAACATTTTATTGCTCACTATTGTGTGGGTCAGGAATTCAGGCAGCATCCATGGGGACTGTCACCTTTGTTCCACATGGTATTGACAGATCCCATTTATACTTGCTCAGTGTCACTTCTGTCACATTCTATTGGTCAAAGCAAGTCACAGGGCCAGCCTCAGAAGAAGAAAGAATTGATCCTACCTTTTGATGGAATGAGGGGCAATGTTACATTTCAAAGGAGAATGTTGCTTGGGAAGAAACATCATTGCTTCCATCTTCAGAAGCAATCTACCATAGTTCACCCTCTGGCCACAGTAATTCACATCTTTCTCATATGCAAAAGATACTTCTCTCCCCCAAGAAGTCTGACTCTCTGCAGCACTGGAACAAAGTCCAGGACCTCATTATCTAAATCAGGTTCAGATCAGATAAAGCTTCTTGGGGCTCATCACAGTGGCCCACACCTGAAATCCCAGCACTTTAGGAGGCCAAGGCAGATGTACCACTTGAGTCCAGGAGTTCGAGACCAGCCTGGGCAACATGGCAAAGCCTCATGTCTACAAAATATGTTTTTAAAATTAGCTGGGCGGCTCAGGTGGAAGGATGAGTCACAATGAGGCAAAAATACAGCACTGCAATCCAGCCTGTGCCACAGAAAAAAGCGAGAGAGAGAGAGACAGAGACAGAGAGAGAGAGAGGAAAGAAAAAGAAAGGAGAGAGGAAGGAAGGAAGAAAAAAAGAGAGGCAGGGAGGAAAGGAAAGGAAGAAAGAAAGAGGGAGGAAGAAAGAGAAAAAGGAAAGAAGGAAGGAGAGAAAGAAGGGAAGGAGGGAGGGAGGAAGGAAGGGAGGAAGAGAAAGGAAAAGAGGAAGGAAGAAAGAGAAAAGAAAGGAAGGAAGGAAAATAAAGAGAAAGAAGGAAAGAAAGAAAAAGGAAAGAAAGAATGAACGAACGAACAAGGAAGGAAGGAAGGAAACAGGCTCCTTGGGTGTGGTTCATTGGTGCAGCTCCTTGGGCGCACCTCCTCTTGAACTAGAGACCTGTGGGCTGGAAACAGTGATGAAAACAGGGACAGAATTACCGCTATAGACGCTGCCATTCAAATGGGGAAAAGGAAGCAGCAGTCACTTGTTTATAGCAATTCCGAAATCCAGTCAAGCACATGTTGCTAGTTCCCCCTAATCTCAGAGCAGGAAATTTTCCTTGATACCTGATTTAGATGTATGACACACCTCTAGTTCCCATCCAACCCCACGGGCTTCTCTGTGTCTTCCTCCGTTCTGTGCTGGGGTCTCACTTCTCCAACAGTATGTTTATTCACTTGCTCAATCCTCAGTACAACAATAAAAGTTAACAGAATTTCAACACTCAGACCACTGTCAAAAACAAACTACATTGGTTTCTAAATGTCTGTGGAGTTTATTTTTGTTTGTTATAAATTTAATATACTATTGCAGAGGTTATTTAAAATACCATTGCAAAGGGCATTTAATAGCATTGCAGAGGATTTTGCATTTGTATTTATAAATGAGATTGGTCTACGGTTTTTACATACCGTCATGGTCAGATTTACGGTTATCCTACCTCAGTAAAACTAACTTGTAAAATTTTCTACCTTTTAATATGTACTGGAATAATTTATAGTGTTTTAAAGTAACCAAAAGTATGCAACCCAGAATTCATTGGGGAGATGGTGTTGACCACATTATATGCTTTTTTTATGGTTGTTAGACTATGCAGATATTCTGTTGATTTTTGAGACAGTTCTGCTTTTATATTTTTCTAAGAAGTCATCCATTTTGTTTGTGGTTAAAAGTAATATAGGTGGTCTTATTTCTGTCATATTTTGTTATTTCTCTTTTTAATGTTTTCATGTTGTTTCTGTATATTTTTGTGCTTCTGCCTTATTTTGGGAGGCATCGTAACAGTTTTTAGTTCTAAAGTTATAAGTTTTCCCAATGCATTTTAACTTATTTTTTTAATGTCAAAGTCGAAAATAAAATGTCTGCAATGTGCCACACACTTAAGGCAACATGGTTATCACTTGCTATACCTCTCAGCTCCCTGTTCAGGTCTTTTCACTCTCTGGAAACATATACATGCATTATTATTAAACTTTTTTGCTTTTACTCTATAAATTATGTTTATTCTATTCAATTGTATCATTTCATCATTTGTTAGTTTCACATCATGTAAATTATTTGTCATGTCATATGTCACATAAAGTAATTCCAAAGCAAAAATTAAAAATTGATGTTACAAGGCCAGGCGCGGTGGCTCACTCCTGTAATCCCAGCACTTTGGGAGGCCGAGGCAGGTGGATCACCTGAGGCAGGAGTTCAAGACCAGCCTGACCAACATGGAGAAACCCCATCTCTATTCTTCTTAAAAAAAAAAAAAATTGTGTTACATGATAACCTGCGTTTATGAGAACAATATTAACGTCTTTCTGTTTTCCCTGTTTAAGATTCTCTGCTGGTCTTTTCTTGCCACGACTTCCCCATACTTCCTTTTTGCTACACCTTTCAGTCAAGTGAAGTATGTCTTTAAATAATTTGAAAAGAATTACATGGATGGGATGTTTTCTGACTCTTAGCATATCTTAGAATGTGTTCTATTGGTTTCATAAATTAATAACGTCATATATATCTTATCACAACTCCTCACCTTCAAAACTGATTTAACCTTTTTTCCACTGTCTTTGGGGATTTTATTCTACAACTCTGAAATCTGAGTCCAGCCAGAATTCTGCCTCTTTATCAGTGTGTGGAAACCAGTGATATTTCCGCTATTATCTCAATAGTTGTATATTTAGTTATTTTTGCCAGGATAGGTTTCAATATTGTGCTCTTCTCAGTCACCTTGGCTGGCACACTGAGCCCTTTTGATATACATGCCTGCTTCTTTTTCCAGCCCTATTAAATCTTACTGATCCATTTGTTCTGGGCTCACTTTCAAGAACACCTTTTATCTACCGGCTATCTGTTCTCCATTCTCCGTTTATCATTTTTTAAAAATGTTTCGGGAAGCACTTCTCCTCTTAGGCCATTCATATGAGATGGATATTAATACAATTGCAATTTGATAGTATTTTAAACAATTTTTTTAGCATGTTAAGAATGCTAATTTCTATTTTTTAACAAAAGTTCAAAGGATATAAACTTTTCTTAACATAATACTTTTCTCAAAACAAAAATGGAAAATCGTGACAACTTACTAAATTGTCCTGATCTGTGTTTCTGGCTTTTCTTTCTTATTTAATTTCCATGAAGGAGTGAGACCTTCGAAGCCCCAGGCCCTGCGCATCAGGAGGCAGAACCTGATCAGCAGGCCCC